TATTAGTATAAATTATGTATCATTTTGTAGAATCATTTCCAGACATTGTCATAGACAAACAACCCAGTGATATGTGTTGATTTCCTAACTTTTATAATCATAACTTGAATAATGTTCACAATAAAATTTGCATTATATCCATGCTAGTCTAGATTTTTTCATATTTTAGATTTTGATAAACTTGGTCTTCTTTCAGAAAATGATATGTAGCAAAAATAGATTTGAGTGCTTTTATATAAATACGAATTAACTGAAATATAACCTAGACATTGTACTAGCTAAGACCTAATATAAAAATAAGAGGAGAATACTTATCATAAGACCTAATATAAAAATAAGAGGAAAATACTTATCATATCTGCTTGTGTTTTAAATTTGCATGTTTTTATTCAAAATTTACTTGTTTTGTCAATGAGTGTCTGTAATTTAAAAGAGAGGGGGTATTAAATGTCACTGTGTTTATCTTGGCTAATTGGCTGGGATATCCCTGTAGAATTAAGATAATGAGGTGTGAACTGTGAACTACATAGTATTTTATAATTAATAACTCCACTGTAGACAAACAATCTTATAGAACAATTGATAGCACTCAAAACAATTATTTCAACACAGAAATAAATTGTCCTATTAGTTATACTTAAACATGTTAAAGGTACATTGAGTTTACATGTTCATGGCTAAGAGCTTTAATCTATTCATTTTTTTTCGAAAATAATTAAAGCACAGGGATCATGTATATATGTGCACTGCCAACATGCGGAATGTCCAAATACTTATAAATCACAGAAAAAAATATCAAATAATTTCTGCAACAATCAAAAGTTATTAAATATGAAGGTTCAAATCCAAACTGCATGAATACATTCAAACTTCAGATGGTATCATCAACATTAGTACATAATATAACCAGAAGTCTCTGTCGAGACTGAAGCTCTACTGGTTTGTACTTATAGCAAAGGAAGAGAAAAGTACTTAAGCAGTTGGAAATTGAAACTTTTCAAAAGCAATAAATAGAATAATGATCCTTGATTAAGTCTCTATATGTTCTTAGTGCAGTCTACTTGCATGCCACATCTATATTATAATCAGACTAAAATTGTATTTGGAGTAGCATTTTGAAAGAATTTCACAGAAATTTCTATTTTTAGTAACCACGGCAACAACGTTCATCGAAATCAAAAACCGATACACAGAATTATGTATCTTATTGTAGATTACTTGTGTGCCAAGTTATACTGAAATCAGACTAAAACTGTAGAAGGAGTAGCATTTTGAAAGAATTTCACAGAAATTTCTATTTTTAGTAACCACGGCAACACTGTTCATCGAAATCAAAAACCGATATACAGAATTGTGTATCTTAGTGTAGTCTACTTGTGTGCCAAGTTATATTGAAATCAGACTGAAACTGTAGGAGGAGTAGCATTTTGAAAGAATTTCACAGAAATTTCTATTTTTAGTAACCACGGCAACACCATTCATCGAAATCAAAAACCGATACACAGAATTGTGTATCTTAGTGTAGTCTACTTGTGTGCCAAGTTATATTGAAATCAGACTAAAACTGTTGGAGGAGTAGCATTTTGAAAGAATTTCACAGAAATTTCTATTTTTAGTAACCACGGCAACACCGTTCATCAAAATCAAAAACCGATACAAAGAATTCTGTATCTTAGTGTAGTCTACTTGTGTGCCAAGTTATATTGAAATCAGACTAAAACTGTAGAAGGAATAGCATTTTGAAAGAATTTCACAGAAATTTCTATTTTAGGTAACCACGGCAACACCGTTCATCGAAATCAAAAACCGATACACAGAATTGTGTATCTTAGTGTAGTCTACTAGTGTGCCAAGTTATACTGAAATCAGACTAAAACTGTTGGAGGAGTAGCATTTTGAAAGAATTTCACAGAAATTTCTATTTTTAGTAACCACGGCAACACCGTTCATCGAAATCAAAAACCGATATATAGAATTATGTATCTTAGTGTAGTCTACTTGTGTGCCAAGTTATATTGAAATCAGACTAAAACTGTAGGAGGAGTAGCATTTTGAAAGAATTTCACAGAAATTTCTATTTTTAGTAACCACGGCAACACCGTTCATCGAAATCAAAAACCGATACACAGAATTATGTATCTTAGTGTAGTCTACTTGTGTGCCAAGTTATATTGAAATCAGACCAAAACTGTAGGAGGAGTAGCATTTTGAAAAATTGTTTATAGACGGACAGACAGCTAGACAGACAGACGGACGGATGACGGACGCATTACTATCGCATAAGCTCTTCTGGTCTCTGACCAGTAGAGCTAAAAATATTTTTTCTGATTTGATATTTGATATTTGAGGATGGAAGAAAATTTAAAGCAATCAATTATTAATCAATTACATTGTCTAAAGTAATTAATTACAATCGATTACAGGACAAAACTGACTGTAATCGATTATTAATCGATTACACAAAATTCCTCTAAGTAATGGATTATTAATCGATTACATTTTTAAGTAATCGTGCCCATGTCTGTTATGTATACATTGCATATGAAACAAAGTCAATTACTTTTCATTTCATATATTTTTTTGTCAGTAAACAAACATTAGATGCTGTTATACAACAGTTATATCCACTCAGAAGTGTTTGCCTTCAAATGTTTTTTCACAATCTACCTGTGGTTAATGGAGAACCCACATCAGTTATTCTACAGTGAAATTTATTGAATCCGTATGTTAAACATTCTGAAATTTGCTCGATAATGTAGTCTTTCAGTTCCTTTAATAATTCATTCAAAGTAATTCCTAAAATTAAAGTCCATAATGAAAGTATATCATATTTTCAGCTTTTCTGGCCCAGTAGTTTTAGAGAAGATTTTCAAAGATTTTCCCAAAATATATTTCAATGTAAAACTTAAATTCCCTACTGTGGCTCCCCTACCCCTGGGGGTCATTATTTGAACAGTTTGAGATCTACACCGCTACAGGGCGATTCCACATAAGTTTAAGATTTTCTGGCCCAGAGTTTCTTGAGAAGAAGTTGAAAATGTGAAAAGTTTACAGATGGGCAGACAGACAGACAAATAGTGAGTGACCAGAAAATCTCACTTGAGCTGTCAGATGAACTAAAAATGTACCTACTTGCCCTTGTATATTTTAAATGTTCAAAGAGTGGGGATGGGCCAAAATTCAGTGGGAATTGTATGTAAAAATGGTACCACTACTCAAAATAAAGATATATTACTTCCAAACTAGAAAACTGACCAGTCAGCAAGGGCCCCGCCATGGGTAGAATTATAAGGGTGCAGCTTATGAAATGATTAAAAACAAACAGCAGTTGCAGACAAAGGTTTTCATTAATCTTAAAAAGACAGATAAAGGTAAGCCTTCTAAATTTTCTGCAGCAGGCCAGATAATTAATCCCAAGGGATTAATTGTACTTCTCTCTCATCATTTTATTCTTAATTTATAATAAGAACTTTTTCAGTAACGATAGAATGAGGTTTTTATCCTACTGCCTTAAAAATTAAAAATATTCTTGAATTTTCATGAAGCCAAAAAAAAGAAAAAAATAAAAAAATAAATAAATAAATAAAAAAATAAATAAAGTAGGGTATTTCAACAAAAATAAAGTAAAAAACATTTATACTTCAATCCACATTTCAGAGTGTTCATAGCATTCCAAATGGACTTAACTTCAAAACAAATTTCATTTGCAGACAGAGGTGGTAATTAATCTCAATGTGACAGATAAAGATAATGCTTTGGATTTTCTTCAGGAGGAAAGCTAATTAATCCCAAGGGACTCATTCATTGCAGTATTCAGTTTACAATGGGAACATTTTCAGAAGTTATCTCTCTTTGCCAATTCATTCTTATATAAAGTTAAGGAATCTACCCCACCACCCAGCTCCAAACCAGAGGACATAGAAAACAAACTTAGCATCAAAATATGTCTTTTTGCCTACTGAACTACCATACCAAATTTGAACTTAATTGGACAACAATAAAAAAAGTTATTAGGAAAAAACAGAAAATTTGTGAATGGAAGAATGACAGACGGACAGACAGACGGACAGACAGACAGACAGAGTGATTACTATAAGGCACCCGCAAATCCTTGCGGGGCCCTTATTATGTTTCTATTGAGGGCAGGTTTAACTAATGATAAATGTTACTGTGAATTCGAAAAATTAGACTTATGTAGAGGTTTTATATTGTATTTTTGTCTCTATTCATTTATTATAATTTGATTTTATCAGGACGATAAAATTCAAAGCAGGGAAGTATGTGAGCAGTACGCGGTGGGCATTTATAATGTTTAATATGTATTTACTTGTCATGTATAATATATTAAGATGTATATATTGTATATATTTAAGTATATGTACTTATATTTATTGTAGAATCATAAATCTTTATATCACTCAGTATGGGTATACCTAAAGCGTAAAAACACAGATGGACGGAAATCCCGATTAATAAATACCCTCCCGCTTTTCAAGCAGGGGGTATAAAAAAGGACTAATGTAGGCAGGCAAGCTTTATGACCCAAGGCATGCATTTTTTTGCTATTCAATGTCTCTGAATGTCTTTCTCAAGATTGTTGCAACTCAAAAAATCTGAAACAGTTGTCTGTCTTTGAAATAATAATATTGTTCACTCACTTAACCTCCCGATCAAAGATTTTATTTTACACCATGTTCAACTTTGATTTTAGTAAAGAAGTATTCCATGAGGGTACAATTACATTGCTATATCAGTGATTATGTTCCCCAAATGAAGTTTGGAAACATATTGTTTTTACTCTATGTCTTATTATTATATTCCACAAAAGGAGTTTGGGAACATATTGTTTTTACTCTGTTTCTTATTATAATTAAGGTCTTCCATTTCAGACGGAAGACCTTATAGTGATTCTACTGTTTCTTTTTATTAATATTTTTTTTTCCCCTTTTCTTTTAAGACGGATTTCTCAGAGATGGCTGGACGGATTTTCTTGAAATTTT